GTCAGTCTGTCCGTCACAAAAACTTTAACCTTGCCCATAACTTTTGATTTAGTGGAGCTATGACTTTCATATTTCACATGTGTATTCCTTGTGACAAGACCTTTCTTTGGGTACCACCAAATTTGACCTTTTGACCTTGACCTTGGAGTTTGAGCCAGTTTTACACAAAAATTCCAAACTTTTACTTTGGCCATAACTTTTGAATAGTAGGTACTAGGACTTTCATATGTCACATATATATTGTTTGTGGCAACGTCTTTCATTGGATAACAACAACCTTGACCTTTTGACCTTGACCTTGGAGATTTGCGTACTTATGAAAAAACTTTAACCTTTACCATAACTTTTGAACAGTGAGGACTAAGGCTTTTGTACTTCACATATATAGTCTTTGTGAGAAGACCTTTCATTGGATACCAACAACTTTTACCCTTTGACCTTGACCCTGGAGTTTAAACTACTTTTAAAAAACTTTAACCTTGGTCACAACTTTTGAACAGTAGATACTAGGACTTTTATATTTCACATATGTATTTCTTGTGGCAAGACATTGCATTGGATACCAACAACCTTGACCTTTTGACCTTGGAGATTTATGTACTTATGAAAAAACTTAACCTTGACCATAACTTTTGAAGGGCGAGGGCTAAGGCTTTCGTGCTTCACATAAGATATCCTTTTGAGAAGACCTTTCATTGGATACCAACAACTTTTACCCTTTGACCTTGACATTGGAGTTTTAACTACTTTTTAAATAAACTATAACTTTGGTCACAACTTTTGAACAGTAGATACTAGGACTTTTATATTTCATATATGTATTTTTTGTGGCAAGTCCTTTCATCGGATATCAACAACCTTGACCTTTTTACCTTAAAGATTTACGTACTTGTGAAATAAACTTTAACCTTGACCATAACTTTTGAACAGTAAGGGCTATAGGGCTTTCATACTTAACATATGTTATCCTTGTGAGAAAATCTTTCATTGGATATCAACAACTTTGACCCTTTGATCTTGACCTTGGAGTTGACCTACTTTTAAAAAACATTTTACTTTGGCCATAACTTTTTAACGGTCAGGATTAGGGTTTTCATCCTTCAAAAAAATCAACTTCAATGTAACTTTCTAAATAAATGACATAAGATAGGATGTTCATATTACACACAATACGTCATAAAAAATAACATCTCACCCACAAAGACACCGAAAGCGGGGGACCACAATTCTTTGAATTTGCTTGTTATAATTTATTTCTTAAATCATCATTGCTTTATTAATCATGATTTAGATAAATCTATAAATTATTGTAGTGGTTCTGAGTCAAAATTCATGAGATCGGGCTCTATAAAGTATTTTTGGGGAAAATAAATATGGACCACAAAACAAGGGGCAGGCAAAGCTGACACCCTTTTTATATGGAAAAGGAAAAATGAAAGTCTAAAATCGGCATCACGTATTTCACAAACCCTGTAAACTATTGAATAATTTCATTATCTTTCCAAATGATGCCCAATTCAATTACATTTTAATATTTCAAAAATAGAAAAATAAAATATGTATTTTTCTCCCAAAATGAGAAAAAAGTTTGAATAAACATTTTTTACTCTATCAAATATTTTGAAATACAATTTGTACATATTGTATCATATGAAAGTTGCAAGTCATAAAAGCGGAAAAATCACGTAATTTCTGTCCAGGACAAGTGCCATTTTTACATTGTAAAACCAACAAATTCAATTTCCGTCGGGGGGGGGGGGGCTTCGCCCCCTAAACCCCCCACCAGGGCTCCGCTCTGGACCTGCTTGGGGCCTAGGGCGGCCCCTAAGCCCCCGGCCATAATAGCTTTGCCTCACTAGAACTTCAGTTCAAGATACGCCCCTGCGTTCCCTATCAGCTCAGTTGGTATCGTTGTGATAGGGAAAAGAAACGTACCTCAGACTCTTGCCTTTTCAGCATCAAATTCATATAGGCCTATTTACATCCTAGAGATCCCATATTCTCCCTTAATCTGAACGAATCGGAGCAAATCGAGGACGTCGTCGGTTTGCAACTTTCGTCATGACGTCAACATTGCCATGGTCAAGGACGAATTATTTTGGAGAATACGCGTATTTACAATATTTGTTGACTTATTCAACATTCAATGAGTTTTTATAAGTTTATTTATTGATTGTTTTGACAAGTAAAGTTGGATTTTATCTATATTCATCTTGTATACGTTTCTTTGCGGCATAAAATATTCCTACGCCGTACAAAGCAACGGATTGTATGGCGGCCTCAAAGAGAAATAATTTTAATAATTTAAAAACATCGTAATTGGAATTATGAGAATTAAACGTTCTTTTTTCAGAACTTATTGATGTGTATACTCTGCCTTTTTACTCACAAACTTTACATAAAAGTGCTTTGCACTTTTATTCAGTTTGTGAGTAAAAAGGCAGAGTTTACACATCGATGAATTCTGAAAAAAGAACGTTTAATCCTATATTAACTCTTTATCATGTTGATTACAAATGTTCATTACGTGCTGTAAAATACATTTATATTATGTCAAAGTTGATAACCGTGTTTTCACGACTGGGAAGGGGGAGTCCTGATTAAATAGGACGAACTACAGACTCATTATATGAGAGGGGGTCTGGCTTCCTCTTTTTTCCGACATAACTTCCTCATAGAAAATGTTTATTGAAATTTCGCTCCACTTTTTGCTGAAGTATAAGGGCAATGTAGTATATTTGGAAAAAAAATTTAGGACTGATCGAAGTTGGATCCCCCCTTTCACACGAAATAGGACTTTCGAGTTTGGACAATTTGTTTTTTTGCTTTTTCTTGTACGTTAATTTTTTCTGGATGAAAAACCTCCCCCAACTTTCAAAAACGATGTAATGTCACTGAAATTAGTCATTTTTCAACCATTCCAGAACCATCATTTTGATACAAAAACCTACCAGTCCCTCACTTAAATCAATTGACCATGCCTCGGTAAACATGGGCACGTATCAGTGGCGATCTTGGGTTCTTGAAAAGAGTAGCTATAGGGGGACGGTATGGTGTCTAAGTTGGGGACAAGGGGGGTAAAAGCTTGAAAGCTCTTGGGCTTTTTTTTTGGTTTGTTTGTTTGTTGTTTTTTTTTCAGTTTTCAACTTATTTCAGTTATACTTTATATGAAACTAATGCAATATCCTACAAAGTAAAACCAGCTGATTAATTTCATACCGGCATAGTTTGGTCACTTAAGAGGGGAGGGCGGGATCCCCCCTCTCCCCACCCACCCACCAATTCACGTATGAAATACGATGTGTTTACACCTTTATAAAAAGGAGAACTAAAGACTGATAAAAAGCTTATTAAACAATTGTAGGACAGTGTTTTGTAGTTAGGTCAGAAGTTTCGGACTTTTCAAAACAATTCAAAACTAGAGGTACTGTGAGCAATGAGCTCACTAAATAATACCCCTCCCGCCTCCCATATGAATATAATGACAGTCTCCATGGTTTTCTCTGGAAAATCCAAAATATTTGTCAAATCAAAAAGTAAAATAGGAGGTGCACAATGGCAATATGTAATAAAGATTCTGTGAAAGTTTTATCAAATTTCATTCAGTGGTATGAGAGGAGTTGCGGATAAGAGATGGGTACCCCAAAGCGTAACAGACGGACGGACGTACAGACGGACGGACGGAATTAACGATTACCATATGTTTAATAAAAACGAAAATATTGCTGCATGACACATACTATTTGATTTGCGATCATTATGAGATTAAACAGCCATTAATTTCGACTTTAAAAAACAATTGTTAAAAAAGATTCCACTGGAACATGATCCTATCTATAAGTTTTAAACTGATATTTAATTTAGGATTAATTAAGTTTTGTGTATAATTTAATATTTGATATGTTTAATTAAAATTATTTCCATGTTTAACATCTGTGCATGTAATATTGAAAACACAAAACGAACTTTGAGGCATCACCTAAACCTTATGTCACACAATAAAGGGTTGAAATATTATAAGATATACTGACAAGCGGCTAAGCATTTTAGACACAATGTAAAGATACAATGGCATTACATAGTAATGATTTGTCAAATAGTAAGGGAAAATTGACATCCTGTAATTGATTCCCGTGGTCATGTAGCATATTGATGACACAGTGTAGTAAGAAATTACCTACATGTAACAATTTTTTCACAACATCTAATGAAAATCTGACATCGTGTCATAGCGACTTGATATTGAATTAAAGATAAATTCACATCATGCAATGGACTACTTAGACCAAATAGTAGGAAGTGCACATAATGTAACAATGAGTTGAAATTATATAAAAACATCTTTACACCACGTAGAATTTTTTTGACTTAATGTCATAAAAAGCTGATATAATTCAATGATAGATTGGCGCAATGTAATTGAAGTGTGAGTTAATGCCATACAGACTTGACATAATGTTATGGAAAGTTGACATAACGCAATAGTAGTGTGTGAAAATGCCATAAAGATTTCATACAATGTACTGAAAAGTTGACATAACGCAATAGTAGTGTGTGTAAATGTCATAAAGAGTTGACATAATATACTGGAAAAATGACTCAATGCAATAGTACTATAAGTAAATGTCACTAAGTGTTGACATAATGAAATGGAAAGTTGACACAATGCAATAGTAGTGTTCTGCTATAAGGCAGTGACGGCGTTCCATACTTTTGAATTCCTGTAATGTTCCTGGTATGTGTATATAGTCCGACAATAAATAAAATTTACTTACTTACTTATTTGTTAATTCAATTTAATGATTACAATAAGTTCCTTTAAATGTGATTTTGCAATGTATGTTTGTTACTGGACATAAAATCCTTGAATTATAACCTTATAGTGTTTGGAATTTGCCAGTATCATATTGTGATTAACAATACCTAGGTATTGAGTTGGTATAGCTAAAAATTACTGCTAATGTCGGGAACACAGAATTGAATTTTATTTATTTCATCAGATGCCAAATCCTGCTTACAGAGGAAGCAAACGATAGGTGGACAGAAATTAACAATTAAAAAAAATGACGAAAATGTACCTGAAATATGGGAGATGGATAAAGTGCTGGTAAGCAGAATTAACCCAGGGACAACTGACGACACACTGATGAATTATTTGGGGCCAGCTGCTGGGGTGGATCCGATAGATGTGGTCCGAGGAGCAAAACCTGATACAGTAATAATAGTGTTTGAGGAGAAACCAGGTAAATAGAATAATTAATGCTTGATCGTGTAAGATTTGAAGTCTTGATGCGTATTCAATATGATGTTACTTTTTAAGTCGGTTTTGCAATGTCTTTTTTTATTTGATATCAGATTTTCCCAAGATGTTAAAACGCTGCAACTCCAGAAAACTCAATGGCAAGTCATTGCTCATACAAATGGTAGAGAAATGTAGATCGGTGTATGCTCAAGACATTGATGAAAGCATCACATATGATACGGTGGAGAATTTCTTCTGTAACAAGAAAAGAAGTGGAGGTGGTGAGGTGGAGGAAGTAGATTACCATCCAGAAGACGGATACTGTGTGGTTCTGTTTGAAAATCCAACAGGTTATTGTTTGTTTATTTAATTATTTGTACATTATTAGTTAACTGAGTCAAGGGTTGATTGAAGTTTGTCAATGTCTGTCATTATTTTAAACTTTCTTCAGTTTTTTCTTCGTGTACAGAACCAGACCGTTCATGGTAGGTTAGTCAGCAGAGCACCCTCTCCGTGATCGGGAGGTCGTGAGTTTGACTCGGTCGCGACTGAACAGAGTCGACTGAGAAATGGATAGTAACTGTTCCTTCGCCATACGCTCAGCACTTAATGTGATAGTTGCAGATTCTGCGTATGAGTCTTTAAACACCCAGGTTCCGTGTCACTGCAGGCGCTAGCATAATAAAGGGCCCTCACTGCTAAATGGCCCTAGGTGCCGAGTTAAGGTCAAAAGTTGATGCCATCACCGATATATGGTAACGTCTTTACATGGGTGAACAATTTTCGAATGAGACGGAATACAACATACAAAAAATCACTCTACAGAACCAGTGTTAAAATCAGACTTTCCGCCACATTGCATCATCAGGTAACCGGTGTTTTGCGCAATATAAAATTCAAAAAAATCATTACGTTTATGTTTTTAGGTGTTAAACAATATCTTAAGAGCAGGTTTTGGTATATCATATCAAATGAAAATATTAGATAATGCCAAATGCGAATAAAACTAGTTTTTGAGACGGGGATCTCACAGTTTTGTCACATTTCTATTGTTATTCATATGCATACCAGTTTTCAACGACATTGTTTACATCGAGCTGCAACTTGGCCAGTGTTCTCATTTGCACAGAATGTGTATTTAAAATTAAACTTATACATATCCAAAGGAAAATTTTGGCAAAGATGCAATTTAACGTTGAATATTGACCCGAGTTAAAAATAACCCGGGGTTCATTTTTCAACGTTGAATATTGAACCAAGGTTTTTTTTCTCCGTTGAATATTGAGACCAAACGTAGTTGAAGTTTTACCCGGGGTCATTTTTCAACAGCTTGATATTTTTTTCTTATCCCTAATGACCTCAACAAGTTGAAAATTCACCCTGTTGAATATTGACCCCATCTCAGAGTTTGAACATTTTTTGAACTTGGAAGTTGTTTTACGGGATTTATCTGTATCTCTATATTTATTTGTCGGTTTCATTTTTCCCTTTTCAAGAATAATAGAAATAAGCCTATCATCCCATGTAAATATTTACATTTTGATCAGTACACGATTTTTCAGTTATCTTCAAGCATGACAACTTTATTTTTGGACAATTTTTTTTAAAAATCCATAGCATCCATAAATAAGTACAAAACTATGACTAGGGCATAAAACAAAATCCTGGAAATCTGGTGTCTAGAAACTGAGCCCTATTTATATATATCCAATGAAAAAAGTCAAGAATCACAAGTCTCGAAACTCATTTTTACTGTTAGCGCTTTCTGCCTAATGGCTATTCAGACAGTTAAGGACGCGATTGCACGGCGTCACGTGATCACGTCATATGGTGAGTAAAAAAAGAATGTTTGCTGTAACTTTTTCCGGAATAAGGAGTGTCATATGTTTGCGCTTGACAAAAGGGGATTATTTTTCTAAAGTAAAGAAAGTATAAGATATTAAAGATTGTTACGATGCACTGAGAGTGTTGGTGAGTGTTGATCATATTTTTTATCAACGTGCATGTTTTACGATTTGACACGTCCATAGGCGTCGGAACCGGGGGGGGGGGGGGGGCAAGGGGGGGCGTAGCCCCCCACTTTTTTTCCAACCATATACTTAGTATAGACATTGAACATATCATCGTAAGTTTACCCCCCCCCCCCCCCCACTTTCCACAGATACGTCTTCGTATAGGTTAAAAATGGGGAAAGTGGTGGTGTTTGGAAGAAAATTTTTGGTACTGGAGTTCGAACCTACCCCCCCCCCCCCCCCCTCTGACGCCAATGCACGTCTATCTAGAAATCTATTTCATTAAAAATAAATTTGATTTATATCTTGAGGTTTATATCTTCATTTTAAAATTAAAATTTTATTTAAGATTGTTGTTTATCAAAGGATCTTCATCTATGTATAGATAATTTCCAATAAGAGATTCAGACGGCGTGATTTACTCGATACAAGTGTACAGGCGATTTTGATAAACGTGTTACGGCGAAGACCAACCACTTATGCCTAGAAGACATATCTTCTAAAAAAAAAATGGCAGAGGATTTTGTTTTCTCCTATAAGATCATTAGCATTTTCAGCAGTAACATCGACCGCGTAAACATTCAATCATCGTCGCACATATATTGTAAAAGATTTGTTGTAAAATGTTTTATGCGTCGTATTGAAACACAACACACTTCTTCTGAAAGAATACCAGGAAAGATATGTACATCAATAAATAAAAGAAACATGTGAACTCATCATGCTTATGGGAATACATTTGAAAAATGATTTTTTTTTAATCACATTGGCATGAACAAAGATGTTTCACTCCAGCATATATCATAAAGCGACGGAAAGTTATTTCAGTCAATGATTATTTTTGAATCAAAACGGTAGATCTATAGTTTTGACGTCAATTATATCATTGTGACATCACAATGGAGATAGCGCTCATCCATGTACAGGAGAAAATGAAGTGTACTTACTTGAAAAGAATCGGAACGAAAACTATTCGTAAATTTATGTGAATATTTAGAATAATCAGAATTATTATAATTTGGCCAATAAGATTATTTATGGATTAATACATTTATTTCAAAAAATATATATTTATAATATAATTACAAGTTTTAGAAAATAACCTCTATTCATTCAATGTGACCCGATTCCAGGTCACTAAGAAAAAACATCGCTGAGTGTTCAAAGCATGAAGAACTAGTACTAATTGTAACGGGAACCGTTACAGATGTTCCCCAAACGCTCCGTAAACTCCTTTTTGGTACCATATTTCCTGTAAGCTTCATTAAATAAGACAAACTTTGTGCATTTTTTATTTCAACAACGTTTTCTCAGAAGGATACCGATTATTTTCAAATTTTAGCATTGCACCCGTGCGCATGTGAATGCATGTTCGTTATGATCATATCATCTTGTCTACACTATAAGCATTCAGTCAAAAAGTATGAAAAATCACTCTTTCAAGTGTATTTTTCATTTCACTCGTTCCAAATACACGCACGTGCCTGCACGTGTACGATGACCATGTTTTCTTGTAGGAGTCCCGTATATCTATCTATATTCTAAATCCCATCCTGTTTGGTTGAAAAACAAGGGAGTTATAGCCATTTCAAGTTTAAGCCAATCAGATTGCAGCACACGTGCATGCGCGTAATTTCATGATTTTTTTTCTATATCATATTGTAGGATATCCTAATGCATGACCATGTTTTAAATTTCAAAGCATTTTGTCAAAAAACGAAGGAGATATAGCTATTTAAAGTTTCAACCAATCAGATTGCAGCACGCGGGCATGCGCATGCTTTCATGAAAATTCTTATATATCATGCTGTAGATCTTCATAATGTAGGTCTATGTTCAAAATTTCAAAAGATTATGACAAGAAACAAGAAAGATATTGAGACTTTAGTTTCAGCCAATCAGAGCGAAGCGCGCGTGCATGCGCGTTAGCTCTTACTTTTTTGACCATGTCATTTTGTCTATGCTTCTAATATATACTTATAATATGAGTTTCAAAGCATTTCATCAATTATTTAAATAGTTACGTCTGTATCAATTATATTGGACATTTCTTGTGTTGCACGTGCAAGCTCTTGCAAGCACATGTGCATGCACATGCTTTCGTGATAAATCTTATATAACAGGCTGTAGATCTCCCTAATGTATGACTATGTTGAAAATTTCAAATGATTTTATCATAAAACAAAAAAGATATTGAGACTTTAGTTTCAGCCAATCAGAGCGAAGCGCACGTGCATGCGCGTGCGATCTTGCTATTTTGACCATGTCAACTTGTGCATACTACTAGTATATCCTTACACAATAAGTTTCAAAACTTTAATTTTCGTCACAAAATAGGAAAGTTACGGTTATATCCATTATATATTGGTCATATTAAGTTTTGCACGTGCGCGGTCTTGCAAGCACGTGCGCGCAAAATGGCCTTGATTCCGCAAATCTACATAACATGCCTACTTACCCTAAAAAGGTTTCACCTAAGTCGGATGTGTAGTTTACAAGATCACTCGCGTACAAAATTTTCCCAGGAAGAAAAATAATAATAAGAAGAAGAAACAGAGTAAAAACAATATGTTCCCCAACTTCGTTTGGAGAACATAATAAGGCCTTTGAGGACTGTGCACTGGTTTATAATATATTATTTATTTATACTGATATAGTGACAAAATGAATGTTTTGGAGATGAAAAACTGAGTTTGAAAAAAAAGTTATTTTCGTGACCACTGTCGGTGATAAGTAAATCATTGTGCTTCACATATAAAATGAGCATCAGCTGCCAGATTTTCAGAGAAAAGGTATTTATTTATCTATACAGATGGCCTTTATTGTCTTTAAACAGATTATGCATATTTAAGGTCCAACAACAAACCATTATATGAAAATCTGTGAAATCTTTTAATATTTAATATTTTGCATTTAAAACAGGTTTATGTCTGTTTATTGGCTAGACAGGAGACACCCTGAGACACAGAATGATCGTACACCGACAACAAATTAGGGAACCAAAATACCAGTGTACCGCCGTAAGCGAACACATCAGAAACAGTGCCAAAAATAAAACACCCAATTTTACTGTTTTTCCTTTCTACAAATTCCGAAGAGATACTACAGAAAATGAACGTGAAACTAAAGAAAAACATTTTACAAACAGACATAAACCTGTTTTAAATGCAACATAATTATATTTCATTTAAGAAATATACTTTTACCCGCAAAATAACTGTACTATTTGTATAAGAAATCTAATTTCCCGTAATAACTTACTTACTTATTATCATGACGTCATAATGAACTTTGCTAAAGCGCGACCAAGTATTGGCGCTTTATGACGTCTCAATATG